GAAAATCAATTCCAATTCTCTGGTACAAAAAGCCCAACGCCAAGGTTACCAGGAGCTCTGCAACTTCGAGTCTTCCCTAAACACCAGCTACTGGGATTCACTGTCACGTGACTTGCCAAAATGGGTCATGTGACATGCTGGCTCTTTCCATTCCAACCTGGAGAGGGAGGAACCAAAAATCCTTTTGCCCTTGCTACTGCAATATTCACGCCCCAGCTACTTGGGTCAGTAAGAGACTCCGGAACGACCACTTTGATTTCAGACCGTCTTCTACCGCCAAAATGTGGGAAGGAGCCAAACTCGCCCAGGTTTTCCGTCTGGGCCCCCCCCACCCAACCCGAAAGTTCGGTCCGAGGCCACGCCCCTCAGCCGACGCCAGGGCCTTAGGCTTACAGCCGTGTCAGGCCCAGAATCCGGCAGGGTTTTACTACTCCGGGAAATCGGGGATTCCTTTCACCGCCTTTCTGCTGGGCCCATATCTGGGCCGTCCCCGAATCCTTTATTTATGGCGTCGCTTCTGTGCTGTGGGCCCAAGCTGGCCGCCTGCGGCATCGTCCTCAGCGCCTGGGGAGTGATCATGTTGGTGAGGGGACTGGCCGACGAGAACTGCAGAGGGTCTGAGGGGCCCTGGTGTTGGAGGGCTGGAAGGCTAGGAGACTTCAGGCCTTAGAAAGCCGCAGGCAGGCTGGAGGGGATGGTTGGTTAGCCGCTGGAGAACGAGGCAGAAGAGATTGAGAAATGGGGAACTGGAGTAGGGCGGGTAGTGGGGGAGGGAGCTGGAGCTTGGAATGGGATCCCGGGCTGGTAAATTTGGAGACCCCTTCAGAGTAAGAGGAAGAAGAGCTGGGTTCTTGAGAGATGCTTAAACTGAATGGAGGGACGAGGAGCGATGGGAGCGCTTATTCCCGAAATGGATAGCTGGGGCCTCGTTTCCCCAGGACTTCACCCGCCCCACTCCAGGAAGAAACTAAGTGCCGATTCCCCCTGATTCTTTCTGCCCTGTCCCGTGATAATGACGCCTCTAGAGAGGAGAATTGTCTGGATTCCTGGGTTTCACACTATTCCTGCCCTTGCCCCAGCCAAGTCGTCTCAACTTTGTCACCACCTCATGCCCTGTTTCGGGTGACTGTGTAGAAATTCAGCAACAGCTACCACTAATCCCAGCGCATTCTGTTAATTCTCAAACCCAGATGTTGTGGCAACATTAGAAGTGGAAGTAGTTTAGGGAGTGACCAAGGCGGGTGCCTGAGGTCAAACCTACCCTTTCCGTTTTCAGATAATGCTCGGAATCTTTTTCAACGTCCATTCCGCTGTGTTAATTGAGGACGTTCCCTTCACGGAGAAAGATTTTGAGTAAGTTTAGGTGGGTGAGGTGAGAGGCTGGGAGTAGGTGGGAGGTGGCTGAGCCTGTGGTCAGAATTGCAGGATGCTTCGGGCCCAAGTGGCTAAGGAACTGGGTGCGGAGAACTGCTCTCTTTAACATACAGTTCCTATTGGTCTTGGGAGTTAAACCTCAGCAACCATCCTAAACCCACCACTTTAGTTGTGGCTTCTTTAAGTATTTTACTTGACTTTTCTGTGCCTCCATCCTCTGTGAAGTGGATGCTGTAATGGAACTCGCCTCATAGGGTGGAGAAGATTGAACAAGATAATACATGTAAAAGCACTTAGAACCCGTACCTAGCACACAGTAAGTACTCAGTAAATGTTGGCAGCTATTATGTTTCTGACACTTTTCTCCTTAATCCCCACCCCTAGGAATGGCCCTCAGGACATATACAACCTGTATGAGCAAGTCAGCTACAACTGCTTCATCGCTGCGGGCCTTTACCTCCTCCTCGGGGGCTTCTCTTTCTGCCAAGTTCGGCTCAATAAGCGCAAGGAATATATGGTGCGATAGAGCTCGGTCGCATTTACGCTCTTCAGCCCCCTCTTCTAGTTAAGACTCTCCCTACCCTCTCATGACCCCATTCTGGAGCCCGGCTCCAGTGGAGGGAGGCTGGGGCTGACTGTCATCTGCCCTTCCGGCTCCCTTGCCTCTTCCCGTACCTTCACAATAAAGAGAAATTGTTCTCCTAAGCCTTGTGGCTGTGCTTGCGTTGGGAGAGACGGGCACTGGGGCTGGATATCCGCCTCAAGTAGGGAGCTCTAACTCCCCCACGGAAGTAGAGAGAAACCGGACCGGAAGTGAGGCGGGGTCTCTCACTCCCCACCCCCCCTGACGCTGATGCGGCGTAACTGCAGCTGATGAAGCACTGAGCTGCCCAGTTTGAGCCAATCAGCTGCGGGGGGGGGTGGGACTTCCTGCACGGGTCGGAGCGGTTTTATCCGCTGGCTCTCTGGCCCCGGTGGCGGCAGCGGCGGCAGCAGCGTCTCTGTCTCCGTGCCGGAGGTGCACGGAGCCATGACGTCAGCGTCCACAAAGGTTCGACCTGCCTTGCGGACAGCGCTCTCTAGTGGCCACGGGAGGGCGTTCTCGCTCCCACCCCGTTGGCTCCCGGCTCTTCCGCCTAGGGTGGAGAGTGGGGGGCGGGAAGCGGGTGGGACGCGGGCGGGAATCGAACCTGGGGTGGAGCTAGGGGCTCCAGGCGGGACGGCGCGGGGGTGTGCTCCGGCCCCCTGTAATGCTGCCCCGCCCCCAGGTCGGAGAGATCTTCTCCGCGGCGGGAGCCGCATTCACGAAGCTTGGAGAGCTAACGATGCAGCTGCATCCCGTGGCCGACTCTTCCCCCGCGGGGTACGTGAGTCCGGGCTGGGACGTGGACGCAGAATGCGGATGCTTGGACTCGATCACTTGACACGGACATTCTCTAGGACAAGGACAGATGTTAGTTTTAGTTTGCCTTTGTGCCTGGCACTGCGCAGAGTGGGTGTTAATAAATGATTGTTGAGTGAATGACAGGTAAAACCACAGACTGAGACTCACAACCTGAACCTGCAGACCATAAACCACCACCACTACCCACCCACCCCAAATCCTGTAGAATTCCCTCACATTGCAGCAGACTGTGCTCAGGAGTTGTGTTTTTTAGACGCCACCCCACCCCACCTCCCCGCCGCTCCCCGTGTTGAATTAGTTTCAGTGGACAGTTTACAGCAGCTGTTTCACGGTGGGTAGGAGGCTTTCTTACAAGGTGGTGGTTTTTGTAGTACCATGGGGTCCTGGGGTCCCACGGGGTCTTAACTGTTTTTGTTTGTTTGTTTGCTTTTAAGGAGGACCTCTTTTTGGATCCATGGGAGGGGACCCAGGGATTAGGGGGAGGAGGCCGGCTGCTGTGGAACGCATTGCCTGGGGGGCTGGCTCCACACCCCTCCCCCTCCCACTTTGGATATTCCCCTCTCCCCTTCTGACAGTGCCAAGTGGACGGAGACGGAGATAGAGATGCTGAGGGCTGCTGTGAAGCGGTTTGGGGACGATCTTAATCACATCAGCTGTGTCATCAAGGAACGGACAGTGTGAGGGAGGGGTGGCTGGTAGAGAAAGAGGGGGGTGGGCAGCTTTCTTCCTCTATACCCATTGTTCCATCTTCTTCAGAACTCCCAACTCAACATCCTTGCTACTTTGTTGCTAGTTTTGTTAGTATCTCTTTGGGGACTGAAAGATAAAAAAAAAAAAATGTCACAATTGGTCAGAAGTCTAAAATAGTATGGTTGTCAGGCCCTTCCAAGATTTTGATTTTAGATTGCCTGAGATACCCAGTAATTTAATTTGGTAATGGGAGTTGCCTGGTTATTTACACAAATCTTTTGAGACTCTGCTGCCATGTTTCCAGGGATACTGTGATTCTGAACTAGTTGATCAGAATCTACCTTTAGATCACCAAGGCTTACCTGTTAGCCTTTCACATCCATACTTCTCTCCCAGAAGAGAATTCGGAGATGGGCCCTTCCCACTACATGATTCAGGGAATTCACTCTTTATACTCCATCTTCTCCAAGTGAGTAAAAAGCTTCAGGAAAATGAGACCCTACCAGAAGGTTGGGACCCTAACTTGGATTCTTATCCAGGGTCTGAGGGGGCTCCCCAGTAACCCTTCAGAGTGGCCTATTATCCCTGCCCCACCCCTGCCCTCTTCCCTCTGTCTCTCTGATGATGACTCCCTAACCTGTTCTCTCTTCTCTTCAGGGCTCAGATAAAGGCCACTGTGAAACGCAAAGTCTATGAAGACTCTGGTGTCCCCCTTCCAACTGAGTCACCCAAGAAAGGGCCCAAGAAAGTGGCATCTGGTGTCTTGTCGCCTCCTCCAGCTGCCCCTCCATTAAGCAGCTCCTGTGTCCCTGAGGCTGGGGGTCCCCCCATAAAGAAGCAGAAAGCTGGTGAGGGCTGGGAGTTGCTGCCTAGGGGTTAAAGTCCCACCTGAGGTTCAGTGAGAGAAGTGGGCTTGGATCAAAGGAGGACAAATCTCTCTTCCTCTCCCAGTGAAGGTTCCCAGAGAGTGGCTGGCGTGGGGGAGGGAGGGAGAGCTTGAAGCTTTGGGAAGCCAGGGCCACAGTCAGGGAACCTAGAACCTAGCTTATGCCCCCCTCCCAGATGTGACCCTCAGTGCTCTGAACGACTCGGATGCCAACAGTGACCTGGTGGATATTGAAGGGCTAGGAGAAACTCCTCCTTCCAAGAAACTCAACTTCGACCAGGGTAGGAGTCCTTCTCCTCCCACACCAGCTGAAGGGGTTGGGGAGGAAGTGTCACTTGGATGGTAGGGGAGGGTCTTAGTAGGAGTCCCCTCCCTTGTACAGGGGCTTTGGAAGAGAAGGTTCTCATACGTAGTGCAGGTGGTTGGAGCAGTAAAGAGCTGGGGGCTTTGGGGAGGCAGGAATTGTCTTGGAAGCATACTTGGGGCTCGCTCCATCTCGGCCCATTTTACTTCCTGTTCCAGACAGCCTGACCCTGGATTCTGGCCTTCTCATGACCTTTGCTGATCCTCCTCTGCTGTCTCGCTGAGCCTTCCGCCTCTGTCCCCTCTCGGTGTGCACCCTGGGGCTGTGGATCACCGAGGACTCTGAGCAAGGCCTACGTGAGAGAGGGTCAAAAGACTGCTGGGGCTGTCCCCGTGCTGTTCCCGTATAAGCATCTGCCCCCACCCCTTTGGTTTGCACCTGATGGACATTTTTATACAGAAAACAATAAAGATTTCCCTCTCAGCTCGGTGATGTCACTTAACATTATTGGAGTACAAGGGACCATTTGCTCTCTCCTTAGCCCCCGGGGACTCACCCTCCTCGGCAGCTCTCACCACCCTGCCTGGAGCAGCTCAGCCAATATTGGCAGACACTCTTCCCAGTGCCAATATTTCTGTGCTGCTAGAGCCAGGGGAGCTGGGTGTGGGGAACAAAGACTGCACTTTGCTCTCTGGAGGCAGAACTTACTTCCAGGGTCTCTAGCAGTCAGTATTTGGGTGACTGACCTGGGGATTTTAGAGGGGCCGTTTCCAGTGCTTTCATACATCCCTTCCCCCAGCCCCCACCCCCAACCTGGAAAAAAGGCCCCAGATGTCTTTTGTGTCGCTTCTCCAGGGTGGCCTCCGGGGCCAAGCCTCAGCGGTGCCTCCCCCACCCTCGCTCTAACACCACAGTGTGGTTTGGACGTGGCCACAGTGCCGTACAAACCACAGTGTGCTGCTGGGGCGGGAGCAGGACTGGGGTGGGTTGAGAGGAAGGGAGCATGAGACAGTGCTGGGAAGACCCCCACCAGCGAGAGCAGGGAGATAGAGAAGGCATAGAAGGCAACATGGCCCCAAGAATGGTTGGAGGAAACAAGAGCCAGGGCTAGGAGCTGAGCAGGCAAATGGAAGGAGAGAGGCCTGAGGGGTGAGTCTGCAGTATAAGACTGGAACCATCTTCCCTCTGTAGAAACTGCTCAGGGGATCCCTAGGGTGGGGTCAGAGGAGGAGGAAATAGGGAATGACTATGGGGGGCCAAGGGACTGCCTCCCCGAGTCAGCAAGGGCAGGGACCCAAGGCTTCCTGTGTCCGTTCCTCCCCTCTCTGGGTCAGAACCCAAGAGAAAGCAAGGAGACAGAGGAGGCCAAGGACAGCAGGGTTGGAAGTTGGCAATCCAGAGGTGGTGGGGCCGGAACATGGTTGGGAGAGGGGGGCCGGAAGTTGCCCTGGGCCTGCCACAAGATGGAGGCCAAGGGCAGGAAATGGAGGCCCGGGGGGGAAAGGGGAGCAGCAGGGCCCAGGAAGAGGGCCATCTGGACCTGGGGGCCAGGTATTCAACCCCAGCTCTGTTCCACTCTCCATGGCCCCCCAGGACCCAAGTCCCACCCAGCGCAACAACCCCCAGCAGGCCATCCACCAGGCCCAGGAAGGAAGGTGGGCCCACCCCAAAAAGCCACGTTTAAGCTGAGACAAACATGCCTCTCCCCTCCTCCACCCTAGGCCTTCCCTCAGCCTCTTTCTCCTGCCCAGGACTTGGTTTTTACAAAACACCCGCCAGAAATCAAAATCCAAGGGCCAAAGTCCCCTCCGAAAATCAAAATAATATCTTCTAAAATCCAAAAGTTATCTTCCCACCTTCCATCCCCCTCTTTACCACCCTCCCTTCAGACACACCCCCCAAAACTCTTAGCAATCAAAAAGATGTAAGATGGTAGGTGTAAGCAGTCTTTTTAGGCCCTGGGGATGCCAGACCCCCCACCCTTGACACCCCTGTCTCCCCTACATCAAATCCTGCCAAGGTCTCCTGCTCCTCATCCCACACTCCACGGCCCCCAAACTGAACAGCTGCCCCCAGCTCCCCTCCTCGGCAGAGCCTTTGTGGGGGTGAAACAGAAATCAAGCACTTTACTAACGGCTGGGGATGTTGGGGGGCTCTCTGGTCTCAGCCTTTGGTTTTCATCTGGGGGGCTGCAGTTTAGGGCCATAAGAGAAAGCCTCTCCAAATGTCCCCCCAGTTCCAAGATTGACAAAGCCAACCCCACCCCAGCACGCACCTCCAAACCTCCCCCCCAACCGCCACGTCTCTCCTGAAAACAGGGGACACTTTCCTCCCCACTTACCTCAGCTACTCTCCCCTGAGATCCTGGTCCCCTATTTTGAAGGGAGCAAAATTTGGGGTGCATCCCTCACATTTGGGGTGCAGGAGAAAGGAGCCGCCCCAGTCGCATCGCCGGCCTCCTTCCTCTCGGCTGGCTCAGGGAGTGGGGAGTGCCCTAGGGAGGGGGGACCCCCACAAGAGAGCTCAGAAGGGGGTTCCTTCACTCCCAGTCAGAATTGGGGACACCCCCCCAAACCCGTCCCAGCCCATCCGTGTCCAACTCGGCGGGAGAGGCAGCTGCAATGCCCCAGTCAGATTCCCCCAACACTACATTCCTCACCCCATCTAGAGGGGTCCTGGGGGCCCCAAAAAATCCCCAAAAAATCTAGGATGTTGGCAGGACGGTCCTGGACTAGCTCTCCAAATTTGGGGTCCTCAGATACCCCCGTTTTTTCAGGAAAATTCCGTCTTTCGCCTGCCTCCCGCCAGCCCTGCTCTGTCCCGATGCCAATTTTGGAAGTCACTCCCTCCTCCCTCCTCCTCGTCTCTCCAGGTCCCCCCGCTCGGGGGCTAGGGTCCAGGACACCTGGCTTCCAGACCGGGGGTCACTCCTCGAAGGGCTAGGGGCCAGGAGGTCAAGCTCATAGCCCCAGTCTTAGGGAAGCAGAAAAGCCCGATCCTCCCTTCCCCTCCCCCCTGGCTGGTCTCCGTAGTGGTTCAGGAAAGCCTGGAGGATTGGAATCTGCCATTGCTGTTGCACAGGCAGTTTTTTTCCCTTGGGTTGTGGGGGTGGGCGGTGGGAGGGAAAGAGGGGAGGAGAGCCGAACAGAACAGGGACCCAAGCGTGCAGAGCTGGCCTTGCTGACCCCCTAGCCCCTGCTGCGGCGAGGAACCCCTCCCCCACATCTCACCCACACTGCCAGTCCTCTGTCTGCTTTCTGTTTGGGGCTCTTATCCCAGAAAACCAGGGTACAAGAATTACCTCCTTGTACCCCCACCACCACCTCGCCTTGCCACAGTTCCAACAGCACTGACCTAGTCAGGGGTGTCCACTTTACCACCAGACACCCCATTTTCCTCCACTTTCTCACAAACTGACGTGTCCTCCCTTAAGAAATTGGGGTTTGGAGTCTGTAACCACTTTTTCTCCCTTAGATCTATTTAGCCCACATAGAAATAAGAAGAAATACACTCCCTTTCCAAATTTCTCCTGTCCATTCCTGGGCATATTTGAGGTTCACTAAACAAAGAGATTTCTAGAATCTGGGGTGAGGGGAGCTATAAGCAAAGGACATTCCAAACCAGCATCATGCTCCAAATTAAGTGAACCCCCAAATCAATCTTACCTTATGATCCATCCCTCAGCTTCACCAAATCATTGCAAAACACCCCAAAATAAGGACACTCCAAAACTTTAATTTCCTACCCTGGGCCCTGGTCTTGTGTCTACCCATGGAGAAAGCTTCTTGGCTATTTGTGCATACACAGGAGTCTCCCCTCCTCAAAATGAGTTTCCACAACATTCAAATGTAAAGCTTTGCTCACCCTCATGGAGCCACAATCATAGAAGACCTTCACACACACTCCCAGGTCCCTATTATGTTCCACTACAAGCTAATAAAAGACTCTAAATTGAATTTCATGTCCCCTCTAATCCGATTTGAGCCTTGAAACTTATATGGCATCCCAAAACTTAATGCATCCCCCGAATAAGCATGACTACTGTACTTGAAATTAGATTGTCTGTATATACCAATGACTATGAAACCCTCAAAACAAAACCCTCATCCACTTCCCCAAGAACACCTAGCAGGTTCTTCTAATACTTCAACGTGACAACCTCCAAATTGTGAGTGTCAGAATCCCCAAAACTAATGTAGCTTCAAAATCACCTCCATGCCTCAAACTTACCATTTGCCCTCCAGCCTAAATGTATCCCCCACCCAATGCCCAGAATAATCAGACTAACTCAATATCCCATAATAAGCATGCACCCCACAATTGGCCAGACAACACAAAATCAACTCCATCCTGATACCAAAGGGAACTCCACCCTGGGCAGAAATCAAAGTAACCCTCACATCAAAAGCCACCAACGGTCCGAATCCTTAGTGGTCCCGAATCTCCAGTTTCTCAGCAGTTCTTATGTGCATCCAGATAAAGACACCCCCAAATCTGAAGGTGCAGGCCCCAGGCCTAGATATGCAATTCCACAGGAAATGGTCAGTCATTCCTGGGCAATGGAAGACTCCTAAACCCAAATCCAAGTCCTGCTTTGCAGCTGAATTCAGCTCTGGCTCCCTTCCCCAAATGTACCTTGTCTCCCGCCCCCAGTTTTGACCCGAGCCTACCTCTCAGATCAGGGACTTAAAATTAGGGTCATCAGACCCCTCCTGCCTTCTCTCCCTTCTTTAATCCTGAGAATCGCCCTGTTATCCCTTTTCTTTGTTCACCCCACCCAACTTTCATATTAATGTTCTCTTAAAATTCACCTCTAAAGACAGATAATAGTGTCTAGACTAATTAGAAAGGAAAATCCTGTGCTCCCAGGGTTCAGACCCCACTCCTTGTCCCACCCATTTCCCTTGCTCCCAAACCGTCGGATTTCTCACCCCAGGTAGGAACCCCAGCCTCGGAGGAAAGTCACTTCTGTCGCCTAACTCTCCCTCCCTCTGTCCAACCCTAGTTCCCTCTTAGAAGACAGAGGGACAAAATAAATCAGCGCCAAGAGGACGAGAAGGAAGATTTCCGCCGTCCAGACCGAACTGATCCTCAGCCCCAGTCAGTGCGGACCCCTCTCAGCAGGGTGGAAGCGACCCGGCGCGGAGAAGCTAGTGCTCGTGCGCCCCCTCGTGGAAGGAGCCAAACATTGTCGAGCTTCGCCGGCTTGCCGCGCTGGACCCCGGCGTCCCGCCAGTCTCCTAGCATAGCCGACCGGCGGGTGCCCTCCCTAGTGGGCTAGGAATGGGGGAGCGCGAGCGGGCTTTGGGCGGGAGTCTCTCTCTCTGGGTCCGTAAAAGGATTCTGAAGGGAGGCGAGAGCGAGAGTCCGGACGCCTAGGTCTCCTGAGCGTCTCTCGGCTCCCACCCGGGACTTTCCCCACCTCCTCGAGGGGAAGCAGCTGGAGGAGCCGTCCGGTCACAGGACAATGGAAGGAAACAAACTAGAAATCATATCCGCCCTTTCCCTACCCCGCCCGATCAGAGTCCCCTTTGGGTAGGCCCCGCCAGAGGAACCTGTCATTCACACCACCCCTCCTGCTGTCTGGGACTCCACAGGAGCCCACTATTGCCTTCCCAAACCTGGTGCCTCATTGGGCTCTCCTTTTTGTCCCGTAATACCGTACATTGGAAAGGGAGTTTTTGCTGTATTTTTTGTCCTGCAACAGGCTCCTTGCACCCCTTTTCAACGGCTAACACACCGATGTTCGCTGTTCCAGCCACACCCCCCACACGACCAAGTCATCCACATTTCTACTCTGGATATCCCCCACGTTCTCCCAATACGAATGTCCCAAACTCGATGATTCTACTTTCGGTGACCCAAGACTCCTTAGGTTACGACCACCCAGCGTTTCTGAGGTCCCGCCCTAGAGCCGAGACCCCGCCCCGGGCTCGCCATCTGGAGAGCAACGGAGGAAGGAAGGATACAGACCCAGGCGTTCACCCCACCTCCACCCCCGCCCCCGACATCCCGGCCAGATAAAGGAGCCGAGGCCAAAAGGGGAGAGAGGCTCCACCCCCTTGAGAAGAGAAGCCGCAGCCCCTGCAGGACGGGGGTAAGAACGGGAGGCTGAGGGAGCCAGACTCCTGGGTCCCCGAAGAGGGTTGGGGTTTGTTCATGGTAGGAAGACCGAGGCCCCACAATTGGGCTAATTCGGGACTTTATAGTAGGTATTAGAATTCGTGGTTCAGGGGAGGGAACTTCAATAGGGTCTCCAGGTAGAGTCGGGCACCTGAGACTCAGGAGCGTGGTGAAGCAGAGAGAAGTTGGGGGCGGGGGGAGGTGCTGGAAAGGCACTAGGAGTCGAACTAAGGGAGCTGTGCGTCGGAGTTTCCACCTCGCCATCAACACCGCGGTGTGGGAGCCTTCGAATCTAGAGGAGGAAAGCGAGCAATGATGCGGTCGAGGGCAGAAAGAATAAGATGAATTAAGTGAGGCTGCGTGAGCCGGGGCCCGGGGGGGGGGGGCGGGTGGTGGCTCCAGTTGCACCTCAGGAGGAAGAGGCAAATTGCGGAACGGAAGGCATCTTAGGACTGCCTGGTTCTCCTGGCTCCCGCAGGCCTGCGTCGCGATGGGTTCCACCGCTACTCCGGAGCGGGCGCTGGGATATGTCCGCGAGTTCACTCGCCACTCCTCCGACGTGCTCGGCAACCTCAACGAGTTGCGCCTGCGCGGGATACTCACTGACGTCACGCTTCTGGTTGGCGGGCAACCTCTTCGAGCTCACAAGGCAGTTCTTATCGCCTGCAGGTTCGAGGGGAGCCTCATCGGATGGAGTGGGACCAAATAGGAAAGGGGCGGAGCCATAAGTTCTTTGGGAGGGAATCTGAAGCCCAGCCTTTCAGAAGCAGGAGGCGGAGCGTCCTGCAATTGGGGGCGGGGTGACAGTGGGGAGGAGGCGGGGCTCTCCACGGGGCGTGGCTTTCTATAGTGGCACTTTACCTGCCTTGGTTCCCTAGCCCCTAACATGACCTATCTGCTCTTTCTCCAGTGGCTTCTTCTATTCAATTTTCCGAGGCCGTGCAGGCGTTGGGGTGGATGTGCTCTCTCTGCCTGGGGGCCCCGAAGCCGGAGGCTTCGCCCCTCTTCTGGATTTCATGTACACGTCGCGCCTACGCCTCTCTCCGGCCACTGCACCAGCTGTTCTTGCGGCCGCCACCTACTTGCAGATGGATCATGTGGTCCAGGCATGCCACCGCTTCATTCAGGCCAGGTGAGGAGCCCCAACTTGGTGTTCTTCATGGATGAGGTGATTGGTATCCCAGGTGTCAAGGGCAGAGGCCAAGATTAGGAAATAGCACTAATGTCCATCCCACTTTTCCCAGCTATGAACCTCTGGGCGTCTCCCCGCGGCCCCTGGAGGCAGAACCCCCCACGCCCCCAACGGCCCCTCCACCAGGCAGTCCCAGGCGCTCCGAAGGGCACCCAGACCCACCTACTGAGTCTCGCAGCTGCAGTCAAGGCCCCCCCAGTCCAGGCAGCCCAGACCCCAAGGCCTGCAACTGGAAAAAATACAAGTTCATCGTGCTAAACTCTCAGGCCTCCCAAGCAGGGAGCCTGGTGGGGGAGAGGAGTTCTGGTCAACTTTTCCCCCAAGCTGGGCTCCCCAGTGGAGACGAGGCTTCTAGCAGCAGCAGCAGCAGCAGTGGCAGTGAAGAAGGACCCATTCCTGGTCCCCAGAGCAGGTACGGGAACTGGAACCCCAAGAATTTGTAGTGGCTAGCCTCAGCCAGGAGGCAGAGAGGGCCATGGGTGGGGCTGGTCAGGAGCAGGGAGTGAGTGGGTGGGTTCCAGAGACACTAGCCCACCTTAGGAAGCTGGCCAGAGGCCAGGCTTACTCAGTGCTTTGGGTCTTTGGCAGCACAAATGGATATGGCTCATTGGTGAGTACTGGCTCACTTCCGGAGGGTAGGCATTTGGCTCCAAGTTCTCTAGCAGAAAAGCTCCCCTCCACATAATCTCTCCTAAATTTTTGCTCTGCCTAGGCTCTCTCCAACTGCTGCCACTGTACAGTTTAAATGTGGGGCTCCAGTCAATACCCCCCATCTCATACCCCAGGGTCAGGAAGCCACTATATCATCACCCTCTGGGCAGGTTCACCCGCCACCAGGTAAGAGCACCTCCTTTTACCCTTTTCTGGGCTTTTCCTCTGTGGCTGCTCAAGGCCAATTCCAATTACATACTGCAAATTAGAATCACCTTTGGAGCTTTTTTTTTTTTAAATCATTGTTCAAATACAGTTTTCTCCTTTTTACTCCCAATCCAGTCCCCCCTCCCACCCCCTTTGGAGCTTTTAAAACTCCCATTGCCTAGGTCATACCCCATTGATTAAAACATCTAGAAGTGGAAGACAGGCATCAGTATTTCTTCTGGTTTTTAAAAAACTTATCTGAGAGAGAGAAAGATTGCTCAGTTTGTTGTTGCACTTGTTTATATATTTATTGGTTGATTCTTGTATGTGCCCTGACTGGGAATCAAACTTGCAACCTTGGCATATTGGGAAGGCATCAGTATTTTTTAAAGCTTCCAATGAGCAGCAGTGTTTGGAAACTCTGGCCCACCCCAATCCAGGGCTGAGTGGTCAGCCTAGAGCTCGCCAGGGCCTCTCTGGTAAGCTGTCATTCAGAGTGCTGCAAGAAAGGAGAGAGAAACAGAAACCTCCACCTGCTACTAGGGACCTCCACCTACCACCACTACTATTGAAGAGATTAGCAGAGTATTCTGGAGACAGACAGACAAGGATGGAGTCAGGTTGGCTTCCCTTCATACTAACCATGTGACCATCAGCAAAGTAAAATGAGCCCCAGAAGTCTTAACAGTAAATTGGGAAAAAGAAAACCTGCTACTACGTGATTTGAGGATTCCCTGGTATTGTCATCACCCACCCCCCTTCCCAGGAAGTGAATTTTTCAGCTGCCAAAACTGTGAGGCTGTGGCTGGGTGCTCATCGGGGCTGGACCCCTTAGCTCCTGGTGATGAGGACAAGCCCTACAAGTGTCAGCTCTGCCGGTCTGCCTTCCGCTACAAGGGCAACCTGGCCAGTCACCGCACGGTGCACACAGGTAGGAGAGAAGCAGGGAGGAGACAATCCTGATCTTCCTGCTCACCGGGGTCTTGGGCAGAGTCTCTGACCTCTGCTTCTCCCTGCCTCCAGGGGAAAAGCCCTACCACTGCTCCATCTGCGGAGCCCGCTTTAACCGGCCGGCTAACCTGAAAACGCATAGCCGCATCCACTCGGGAGAGAAGCCCTATAAGTGTGAGACGTGTGGTTCCCGCTTCGTGCAGGTATGGAGCCAGTCTCAGGAGTGGTTCAAAGGCAAATTTGCGTGGACCATTTAGGGAGGGTTCTGTCTTTCTCAGAGGACTTATCTGAAATTCTCTCCCCTCCCAGGTAGCTCACCTGCGCGCGCACGTGCTGATCCACACTGGGGAGAAACCCTATCCTTGCCCCACCTGCGGGACTCGCTTCCGCCACCTACAGACCCTCAAAAGCCATGTTCGAATCCACACGGGGGAGAAGCCTTACCACGTGAGTACCGGTCCTGGCCTGACCCAAGCCTTAGACTTACTTCCCATTCACCTAGGGGTGGGGCCCAGAGAGGAGCCGGCCTGGAGGTTCTAGAGCGCTTCCAAACCGGCGGTGTCCTGAAAGCGTCCCAGTGCGTAAGGGGCCGGGACTAGAAAAGGGTTGTGAGTAAGGGGCAGAGTTGCAGGTAGCAATGGGCAGGTATAGAGGTTAGGTTCCTTGACTGAACGCTAGCTCCTGAAGAGGAGCTAAGGGATGGAAATACCTTTACTGAAGAGGGAAGCGCCTATGTCCTTGGCCTCTCCCTGAGGATTTGGGAGGACTGAAAAGCTTCTCTTGGAGAGAACTAACAATTCTCCCTCACTCAACACCTAAAAGGTGGTCGTGGATGGGAAGGGACCTGACCCGGCTATCTGAACAGCCCCCTCTTCCCCACAGTGTGATCCTTGCGGCCTGCATTTCCGACACAAGAGTCAACTACGGTTGCATCTACGCCAGAAACACGGAGCTGCTACCAACACCAAAGTGCACTACCACATTCTGGGGGGGCCCTAGCTGAGCGACAGCCCAGACCCAAGTCACTCTGGAAGCCAGGAAAGCTGCTCGCCCATGCCTGGCTTCTCTATAAGATTTGGGCATGGAGGTGTGCAGGGCCCCACCTTTCTTAGAAACTGCCACCACCTTCATTTCTTACTGGGGAGAGCAGGGGTGGCAGATCCCGACTTGATCTGCCTCTGTTTTGCTGGTCAAAACCTCTTCCCCACAATCAAAATTATTTCTGAAGAGAGAGCAAACTAGGAGCTGGGGGAGAGAGGAGAGGCTGGAGCCCTCATCTCATTTGGTTTATCTGTAAATATAATTTATTGAGGCCTCTGGGTGGCACCAGGGCCTCCATTCTTTTGCATTTCCCACTTCCCTCTTCCACAGTGTGATCAAAGTGACCTGAAACAGAGTGTGAGGTCACAGCTCTGCAGGCAGAGATTAGCACTTAGCTGTCTCCTTTGGCTTAAGTGTTTATTATTATCGCCATTAACTTCTTTAGAATTGTTCTTTCTCCTATTTGTTTGCTTGTTGGTTTGTTTATAATGGAGAAAGGGGTTCTCTGTGTCCTGCCCCTCCAATTCTAGGTCTGGAACCTTTATTTGTTCTAGGGCAGCACTGGGAACGTGTGGGTTTGTGGAATTGGGTCAGGAACCCTCTCTGTTATTCTGGATATTATATGTTCTCTAGCAGGCTAGAACTGGATAGACTTTTCTCCGTTCTTCATGGGTTATGAGAACCTTTATGGTGCACCTGAAATACAGATGCCTCCTCGGGGCTGTGGGTGTGAAGACTTTGTCAGTCTTGGAACTGGAGAGATGATTGGAGAGGCTTTTTCTTATACCCCTAACTGTCCCACTCATCTGTTCAGCTAGGTTGGGCTCAGCTGTGCCTGTCATGATAGAGCCCACAACCCTCCCGCTAGGGCCTGTTCTTTGCACTGAGTTGATCCCTCCATGGGGAAAGAGATCTGAAATTCCTTATTAGAGATGATGCTGGCTTTTCTGATTCTGCCCAGTCTCTAAGAATATTATGACCTAGGGGAAAATTACAAAACTCCTTATCTCTACTAAACCAGTTAGTTCTTTGCGGCAGAGGCATCTGAGCTTGAATGTTCCTTGGGGTTTTCTCTACCTGAGACAAACTCCTTCTTCCTTCAGTGGGTTTTTGGACATGTTCTGGCAAATGTCCAGATTCCACTTCTTTGCCTCTAGAAGTCACAGGTGCTTGTTAACTTTCTTACTTTAGAAAAGCTGGGTCTGTGACCCGGTCTTCCCATCACTGCATTCCTGTCTAGAACCAGTGAATGCAGTAGAACCTTCCACAGGGAAAGTAAAGGGGCTGAGTTCCATTTTGGGTTTGCTATAGTTTGGGATTATGATTGGGATTACTGTTGGGATTAAAGGTTTAAGAGACTTAAAAGACTGATCGACTGATGGACCTTCTAGTGAACCAAAATATCCAAGTAGAATTAAGAGGCTAGTCGAGGGGTGCCATCTCTGGTGTAGCCAAGTAGGCAGAATGTTAGGAATGGAATTGCCTCTTAACTGGTTGGAGGTCTGGAATGTTAGATGATACTCTGAAGCCTTGATTTATAATCCTTCCCCTTTTGCTCTGCAGCCTTTTTGGTTTGGGGCATGGGGAAGAGGGTGAGAAGCACTTTGAATCTGTGGGGATCTTCCTCAAGATAGATCCATACTAGTGGCTATCAGTTGGGAACTGGTGAGAAAGCTACTTCTTCCACTGCAGACCTGCAGGAGAGAGGGGAAACAGAAGAGAGATGTGAAAAGGAACCATGATTTTTTTTTTTTTTTAAGCAGACTGAATGGGCATGTGGAGAGTGCCTAGGGGTGGAGATGTTAGATCTTGCAAGATTAGAATCATGGAATAAAGAAGCCTCTCTGTGCTGCCTGCTGTGTCCTGGATTCTTGCCTGGGGGGCAGGAGGAGGGGGTCTAGGGGCTGGGGAAAGCTGGGGAAAGAGGGTTCTACCCTCCTGGATACTATCTTGAATTTCACATCTATTCCACCAGACATTTTAAATGGCCCACGTTCTCCCCTTCCCTGCGCTTGCTTTCTGGCTCATTGTGTAGGAACCAGTGACTTCATGAAGTTTCTCCGGAGCCACCTGCATCCTGCTGCTCTGAAGTCATTTCCTGCATGAAATGTGGAGGTGGCAGGGAGAAACCAGGAAATCACTAATAATACTAAGAGACTGGGGGATGCATCTGTGCTGGGATACCACCTACCACCACCATCACCACCAAAAAAAAATGCATAGAACTTGGGTCCCATGAGGGCAATAGGGGCTGGAGGTGGCAGTGAGAAGGCTGTGTGGTTAGAGCCAATATGCCAACTCTACCCTCCCCCAGCAATGGTGTCTTGGAATCTATCCTTTGCCCAGTGCATGCTTCTCTCCCACGCTGCCCCCTGTCCTGTCTGTGTCCTGGGTGCACAGCTCTGTTCTACCTTGTGGGCAGAGGGTGGAAGTTCACTAATTCTGATAAGTTACCTCTCTCTGGACTTGAATTACTCATCTGTGAAATAGGTCCATTAACATGGTCTCTGCAGTTCCTTCCAGCATTTAGTTTGTGGTTGTGTTTCTCAGTGTTTTAAAATCTGTGACCTGGATTAGATTTTTAAAAAAAAAATCTAAAAGAAGAAAAAATAAAGAAGGAAAGAAACTTGGAAACTAAAACCTTCCTTCTTCTCCCACCACAGTTTATCCCCTGTTGAAAATGAGACCAGCTAATATTACTCCTGCTACATGTCAGGCCCTAAACTAAACATTTTAGTGCCTAGGTTTTCTAATTCAACTCCCCTGACAACCTTAAAAAGTAGGTGCTCTTATTATCCTCAATTTACAGATAGGGAAATGAACAAAGATTAAATATCCTGGCCAAGTTAAAAAGTGATGAAGCCAAGGCTGGAGCTATGATTCTAAAGACTGCGCTCCTGACTACTGTTACACCGTCACACCACTTTCTACATCATTGGCCTATTCCTCCACCACCCAAAATTTTGATTCCACTTACAAAAAAAAGAAAATTTGGGTATGACTATATTTATTTCCCACATATAAAATTACAAGAGTCAGTATGCTTTTTTAAATTACATATTCTCCCTCCCCATCCCTCACATGTCGGGATAAATCCTTGAGTCCAAGTTTCAAGATCAGGGTCCCAGGGAGCTTGAATTATAAAGAAACAGGAAGACAAGCCATTAGTGCTATAGGAGGTGGAGAACTGGGTAGGAGGGACAGATTGCTCCCTGTCCCTGTGGTCATGGCTTGTCTCTTTGTCTCTAGTCTATCTAACCGTGATATAAACTGGTTAGGAAGTGGTTTTTACTAGAGGGACAGAAGAAAGGGTTTCGGTCCCACTGAAGAAGGAAGGGGTAGGTGATGTTGGTAGGGCCCATCCTTCCTCTCCCCAGTTTTTTTTGGTCTATGTGACCTCTAGATTTCCTGTTAGTTGGGAACAGTCCAATAACCCATTCCCCTTGTTTCTTTCTTTGGCCTTTGAACCCCTTAGGGATCCAGGCATCTAGATTCTAGTGACCTCAGGTGCTTGGAGTATTTTCTTTCAATCTCATCTCATAGACCCTTCACTAGCCCCCACCTGGCCTTACAACTCCTGGGCTCCTCATTAAGCAAATGATGTTTTCCTCTCCTGAACCAGTTTACCCACCACCAACCCCTATGTGTTCCTTACATGCAGATCTCTGTGCTGGAATCTGGACGAACTGGCTAGTTGGGTGAAGAGCAAACAGAAGCAGCCTCTTGTTAGGTCACCTGGGGCCGCGTCTAACCGACCTCCTAAAGTTCCCTCTTTACGCATGCTCCCACTCCAGGCCCGGGTCCGGAATAATGCTCTAAGCCCCGCCCCGGCCTTCTGGCTCTGCCCCTCTTCATGAGTCCCGGAAGGGACCCGGGAAGGGATGTTGGCCCTGGCCAGGCGGGCCAGGTGCTGACACTTGTAATGATCAAACAGATACGGAAAATGGTGCGCCTCAAGGGTAGGACCCAAATCCAGCGCCGCTTCCTGGTTCCTCCACCGAAGTTTAGCCCACCCTTCCCAGGCCTGGATTCTCGGCCCTCGGCCAGGGGAGCCCTGCCCCCCGGGGCGCTAATCGCACAGGCAAACCTTAGCGGTTCTCGCAACCAATATCCAACCCCGCCCCCAGCCTAGGAGAAAGGCGCAGGCGCCTCACGCAGCCTCTCTGGCAGCTCTCAAGCCCTCGTCAGTACCCTCCTCTTTACCGCCGTTCCAGCCCCCACACAGCCTGGAGCGTTCCCTCTGGTGGGCAGAGGTGGAGCGTCCTGAGCCTTGCTCCCACTGGGGCTCTTGAGTGGCCGCAGCTCTGTTACCCACCAGATGGCACGTAGGGCCGAGCCCCCCGACGGGGGCTGGGGGTGGATGGTGGTGCTTTCAGCATTCTTCCAGTCGGCACTGGTGTTCGGGGTACTCCGCTCCTTCGGTATCTTCTTCGTGGAGTTTGTGGAGGCTTTTGAGGAGCAGGCAGCACGCGTCTCCTGGGTCGCCTCCATAGGAATCGCGGTGCAGCAGTTAGGGAGTGAGTGCTGCGCCTGGGTCCGGTGTCCTAAGACGCTCTGAAGGGAGGGGGAATACGGGGACAGTAAAGGGGGAGGAGGGGGGTGGGGGAGATGCTGGAGAAGGATGCCTGAGGTCTTCTCACAGAACTCTTTCCTCTTTCCCAGGCCCAGTGGGTAGTGCCCTGAGCACGAAGTTTGGGCCAAGGCCCGTGGTGATGTCTGGGGGCATCTTGGCAGCGCTGGGCATGTTGCTCGCCTCCTTTGCTACCTCCTTGACTCATCTGTACCTGAGTATTGGACTGCTTTCAGGTGAGACCCTGAGCAGGGGTAGGAAAATTCAATGCCTGCTTTTTTGGCCTCTGGACTATCACCTTCCTCCTGATCCTTCTAAAAGGCTTAGGGAGAAGCTGAGAGAAAGTTTTGAATAGCACCTGTATCCTGAAGGAAATGAAGAGGAATGACTAAATGGATAAACTTGGTCGGGCAATTAGGACATTCAGAGATACTGTGTCCAGAATATGCAAGCCCAGGGCTAGTGGGACTGGAGCATAGAAGGAAGAATTACATACAGTGAAGTTGTGTCAGGTATTGTGACAGTGAAATAGGTATCCGATTTATACATGAAGCAAGGTTTTAGAAGCTTATGGAACTTGGAAAATGAAAATCACACAGCCAGAAATGGTAGAGCCCAGGTCTACCATTCTGTGCTAGTTAACTCCAAAATTCTGTGCTAGTTACTTTAAGAAACACTATCTCTAAACTTCTACAGTACCATAAAATATATTACTCCCATTTTGCAGATGAGGAGATTGAGGCTGGGGGATTGAGTAAAGTCAAAACACTAGAAAGTACAAAGTATCAAAATTAGGATTGTAACCAGGCCTGTGCTACATTCTGCTGCTGGGCAGTGCTGGGATTACTGGGCGCCCTGAGATTCCTCAGAGTCCCCAACCACCATTTCTTCTTCTCCTTTTTTTTTTTTTTCTTTTGGACAGGCTCTGGCTGGGCTTTGACCTTCACTCCAACCCTGGCTTGTCTGTCACGTTACTTCTCTCGCCTGCGATCCCTGGCCATGGGACTGGCACTAACAGGCGTGGGCCTCTCCTCCTTTGCTTTTGCCCCACTCTTCCAATGGCTGATCAGCCACTATGCATGGCGGGGAGCCCTGTTGCTGGTGTCTGCCCTCTCCCTCCACCTGGTGGCCTGTGGTGCTCTCCTCCGGCCACTCTCCCTCACTGAGGACCCTGCCATGGGTGGCCCTGGGGCCCAACTAGCCTCCCTCCTCCATCATGGCCCCTTCCTCCGTTATACTGTTGCCCTCACCCTGATCAACACTGGCTACTTCATTCCCTATGTGCACCTGGTGGCCCATGTCCAGGACCTGGACTGGGATCCACTGCCTGCTGCCTTCCTACTCTCAGTGGTTGCTATTTCTGACTTTGTGGGACGTGTGGTTTCTGGGTGGCTAGGGGATGCTGTCCCAGGGCCTGTGGCACGACTCCTGATGCTCTGGACCACCCTGACTGGGTTGTCATTGGCCCTTTTCCCTGTGGCTCGGGCTCCCACAGCCCTGGTGGCTCTGGCCGTGGCCTATGGCTTTACATCAGGGGCCCTGACCCCAGTGGCCTTCTCCATGCTGCCTGAACTGGTGGGGACTGGAAGGATATACTGTGGCCTGGGACTGGTGCAGATGGTAGAAAGCATCGGGGGACTGCTGGGGGCTCCTCTGTCAGGTAAGGGGAGAATGAGGTTTCCAGGTGGCCCAGGGATGCCATGTCTTACCATTTGGGGAGGGGACTATTCACCTTATAGTGGATGTAAATACTGTCCTCTGATATGGTATACTACATGGCCTGTATAGCCAATCATAGCAGCCCTGAAGTGGGTCCATGGGTCAAAGAAACTGGGGCTGTGGAAAGACTAAAATGAGCTATATGGAATCTTTGGCAGGATACCTGCAGCTTGGGTTTTCAGAGAACTTGGCTGGACCTGGCCAGACATAATATGTCACTGTATGCCCCTTCCCTTGGCCCATTTGGCCCAAATTCAGGTGTCTCAGCCATGCGGTCAAAGTTCTCCAGTCTCCACACGCCAGAACCTTCAGACCTTAACATTTTTTCTTAACTATTAACTGAAGGTATAGGTGGGAGGGCCACAGGTGCCAGAAGGAAAGGCACAGATGTGCCTGACTTGCTGTGGATCCACAAATCCCCACTGTCTGATTTGGAGGTCCTTTCTGAAGGCAGGAAGGTGACTGAAATTACCATTTGAAGCCCTTCGGAAACCAGAGTTCTCAAGCTCACCCATTCCTATTTTGGGAGTTCTAACTCTTCCAAGATGATGGGTTAAGGATTATCTTCCCTCCACCAAAAAATATGTCTGAGTCCTCAGTCCCAGGAAATAAATCACTCATGTGTATTCTTTTTCTGTCTTGGACGTAGGCTACCTCCGGGATGTGACAGGCAACTACACAGCTTCTTTTGTGGTGGCTGGGGCCTTCCTTCTTGCAGGGAGTGGAGTTCTCATCACTCTGCCCCACTTCTTCTGCTTCTCAGCTCGTACCTCCAAGCCCCAGAACCTTGTCACAGTGGCACTGGATGCCAAAGTCCCCCTGCCCAAGGAAGGGCTGGGAGAGGACTGAACTCCAAAAAGAGGCTGGCTGTTAGAACCAGACAGTCAGAGATTGGCAGCTCCAGGTCTTCTCCTCCTGCCCCATGTTGGTACCCACAGAACCACAGTGCCTTAAGCATCTTGGTCTATTTTCCACCACAGCAGGCCTGGGGCTCCTGCGATGTGTGTGCCAACCCTCCGTATTTAGTTGAGGACTCCTATCTCTGCTGTGCTCCCACCTTTTCTGCAGGATCCAGGAGTTCAGCCTGCTCCACTGAGCTGTGAATCAACTGTGAAAATCAAAAGCCAAACTTACTATGTTTTACAAGTGATCTTTAGGGTTACCTGCTAAGTTTCTTCTCTGAAGACAGATGTTTTGGAAAGGGGGATGCCCCTTTGAAATAAAACTGAATCTGAAGACTGAATAATGAAGAGAACCTCAGAAAGAGCTGGAGCCCATATGCTTGGACATGATCATGGCTGGGTGGTGGAGGGGAGGTGTCCAGGAGCTCCGGTGACTCAGAGCGTTTTAACCCTGGTTTCTGCTCTCTGGACCACAGTTCCTTCCATTTGCCCACTGACCTCCTTCCTTTGTGACTCTCCCCTGTGACTTAGAAAATAAATTAAGAGAATGGTGGGGACATGGTGTGTGTGCGGGGGTAGGGGGGTGGGAGGGGTAGTTTGGTAGGGAAGCTGAAGCTGAGAGAGCTTAAGTCTGGATCTGGGATTCTTGTATTTACCTCTGGCCAGTAGAAGGAGATTGAGATACAGGGAAGAGTTTGAGTAAAGGAAGTAAGGACGAGGCAGATAGCACTCTGAGCCTCCCTCTCCCCCAAACAAATTGAAGCTGACAGGCAGACAACTTCTGAAAGATTCCTGTTACAGTGGCAACAACTTGGGCAAAGAGAAATGGACTGGTTCGACAGACAGATACCCTCCCCATCTCCCAGGGCTTAGTGGGATCCTGTTTCTTTCAATCAGTCTTGAATATCTTAAGTACAAAGTTTTCAGTGTCTTCAATTGGCTAACAATAGGAGCTTGCAGGAAAACTGAAAATTTTTTTTATTGGGGGAGGGGCTTACACCAAAAGAAAATGGTCAACAAGTGGCTTCCTGTGTGGAGTGAGGGGCCCCTGAGGAGAGCAGGGCAACTTGAGGAATGGGGAGCAACTCCCCCCTTTCAGGGGGAGGGGTGGCTGGAGGGGAGGCTGGACTGCAGGAGGGCACAGTCCCAGGCAGCCCCATGTAGATGAAGCTGCCAGAGAAGACCAGAGAGCCGCACACGAGGAAGGAGGCGGTGAAATCTCCGGTCTCATCCCTTAGGAAGCCTGAGAGGAAGAGGATAGGAATTTAGATGCCTCGAACCCCAAGGGCAGGGGGGATGGTGGTTGGTGGATCTGTTGGCTCAGGCCCTTACCTGACAGTGGAGGGCCCAGAAGCCCACCGAGGCTCATCAGCATCATCACCAGCCCTGTGGCCTGTACAACACCTCCGATGCCCACTAGCCCCGGGAGCACTCCGAAAACCAGCGTGGCGTAGCAGCCAGAGCTCAGCCCGTAGGCCCCAGCCACAGCTAGCAGGGAGCCCCCCCAACCCTCTTCACTCCCCACCACTGGCACCAGCCCCACAGCCAGCAGCCCCAACCCTGTCAGAGCCCCAAACACCGCCAGCAGTCGCGGGAGGGGCACCCAGCCCTGGTCTGCCAACCATCCGCAGACTAGCCGGGCGCCTGCGTCCGCCACTGCAGCCACCGCCACCACCAGTGCGGCCCTATACCCTCCCAGGCCCCGGTCCAAAGCATGAGGAGCCAAATGCACGTAGGGGACGAAGTAACCGCCGGCAATCAGGGCAGTGCCCAGAGCAAAAACTAAGAAGGCTCGGTGTGCAAAGAGATCCAGGCCCAGGGCAGCTAGGGGCCCGCGGGGTGGGGCTGGGGGGTCGCCAGGGAGTTCCAGGGGTCGCAGCAGGGCACCACAGGGGGTGAGGTGGAGGGTAATGGCGCCAAGGAGGAGCAAGGCGCCCCGCCAGCCGAAAGTATCCAGGAGGAGCTGCAAGACAGGTGCCAGGAGCAGTGAAGAGGCTCCGTTGCCCGTGAGTGCCAGACCCACGGCCAAGACTCGACGGCGGGAGAAGTAACGCGAGACGGTTCCGAGGGCAGGGGCGAACACCAAGGCCCAGCCGGAGCCTTCGAATGGATAAGACCGGGTGAGGACAGGGACTGGAAAGCCCGGCCCAGAAATCCCAGACCTGCTCCTCAGAGGAGGCCCCCCACCCACAAGAAGCTCCCATCACCCCTTTAGGACCGAAGCATCCTCTCCCCTCACCAACGAGGACGCCCAGGCCAAGGTAGAGGTGCAGCAGACTGCCAGCGAAAGCCGAAAAGACGAAACCAAGCGAGGTGAGGATGCCCCCAACCATCACCACTGGGCGCGCTCCCCAGCGGGTGCTCAGGGCGCTGCCCACTGGGCCTAGAAGGAGGTGGGGTCAATAAAAGACACGCCCCTGCCTCCCCGATTTACTCCAACACTTCTCATTGGCTGTTTGCCTGGACCAAAAAAAAACGTCTTCCCCAGCCTAATAGCTCCTCCTTTCAGCCTCAACACACTCTTCTAGAACTTGGTGATGCCCATCGTCCTTTCTCAGGTTATCTGGTAATCAGGTGTTTCCCCCACCACTAAACTCAGGGCCCCTCCACCCTGGTTCCCGCCCCCCACCTCGGGGTGGGGGTTCCTCACTGGCTGCCTGCTGCACGGCTAGAGCCAGGGCGCTGATCCACGCTGTGTCCTGAGAGGTTCGGTCAAAGTACTCCGCGAGATCAGGAAGGGCAAGGCCCAGGGAACGTAACAGCCCATAGGAGAGCCCGTTCACCGTGAAGGCTGCAGCTGCCACCACCCAGCCCCAGCCCCCGTCTGGGGTTCCGATGGGCGGAGGGGCCATCGCCATCTGAGAGAGAAAGGAACACCTGTGAGTGAAGTCTCCATGTCTGTGCCTCCTCCAGGGACCTGAGATCCAGCCTCTGGCTGCTTTCCCAGGAAGAGGGCATGTCACCCCGAGCATGATAGGGCGGGGGCTGAGGGAGCCGGAGCTGGGCCTAGGCATGGAATTCCTGGGTGGGTGCGAGCTACCTGAGTTACCTGCAAGGTACCGGGACGGGGTGATGGGGATACCCCTGGCTTGGAACTCCCCCTCTCCCCCCACACCCCTTACCTGACCTCTCCAGTCAATGAGGAAGAGGGCGAGGAATGGCTCAGCCTGGTTTCTCTCCGCTTCCTAGGTGGGCGGGAACCTCAGAGGGGAGAGAGTGCAGAGATGGAGCCCCACTTGGGCAGGCTTTCTCGGTAAACAGAGATCACCGCGGGGGCCTGAGCCACCTGGGACGCTGTGGTGGGGAGGGCGGGGGCTAGCTGAGACAGCCAATCAGCCCAGCCGAGGGTGAGACCAGACACTAAATCCCACAGGGATTAAATTATATACACAGGCACACAAACGCAGGCACGCCAGCACCCCCCCCCCCCCCCACGGGATGGGCGAGGAATGAATGCCAAAGGCGCCTGCCCACAGCCACGCCCCTGCTGCCTGCCGCTCGCTCGTGGAGGAGATAGGTGGATCGCAATCCCCCGCAAGTCCGAGGTCGGTAGCAATGCGCTGAACCCGGTGGTTCCCCGCAAGGGCCGAGGTGATGAGTAGTTTTGTTTTCAGAAAATGTTGCTGGAGGACCAGGGGTAAATCTTGATTCTCTAATCACAGACCTCCCCTGAGTTCTTGTTGTGTGCTCAACAATGATGTGTCCTCAGGGACTTAGGGGAAGGAAGAGGGACTCCCTTATTCTGAGGAGGCGTGATGTGCCTGGCACTTTCACACATGTCATCTCTTCACCCTCACAATATCCCTGTGAAGACAATGTCACCCTCATTTTTTAGATGAAGAAATTGAAACTTCCAGAGGTTAGGTGACTTGCCCAAAACCACTCAGCTAAAAGGTGGTTGGAAATACATATTTGAATTTTGGGTCTGTCCAACTGTGAGACCATACAAGGAGAATGGACCTAGGACTGAGCTAGAATCTGCCATAGTGGAGGGACATGGCCTGGAGAGAGTTTGATGCCAAAATGGCTTGGAAATGGCAGTCTTTTCAGGGCCAGAGAATTTATGATTCTAAGATAGGAGGCACTGGAAGGACAGAAAGGACCTTTGCAATCAGAATCACTAGAGATTTAGAGATTAGAATATTAAAAACAAAGTAAGAAATCTAAGAATTGAACCCAGGTATTTATTTCTTGAAACACTTTATTAAAAGTATCCTTTTACATTTTTTAAGTTAGATTAACTTTAATGTACTTTGGGCAATTTTAAGCAATGTATAGATTTTCTTTAATCAAAATGTATTTTTACATTCAATATTATTTTGTATTAGTTTCAGGTGTATAGCTTAGTGGTTAAACAATCATATATTGCACTTCACCAATTGTTGTTGATGATACTTTCAGTACCCCCTTGATACCACACACAGTACGATATTATTGAATACATTCCCTATGCTGTACTTTACATCCCTGTGGCTACTCTGTAAGTACCAATCTGTACTTCTCAACCCCTTCACCTCCTCCACCCAGTCCCCCAACCCCCTCCCCTCTGGCAACCGTCAGTCTGCTCTCTGTTTGCGTTTTGTTTTGTTTTGTTTTTTGTTATATTGTTCTTTATATTTCACATATAAGTGAAATCATATGATATTTGTCTTTCTCTGATTGACTTATTTCATTTAGCATAATGCCCTTTAGGTCCATCTATGCTGTCATTCATGGTATGATTTCATTTTTTTCTATGATCAAGTAAATGCCATTATATATATGTACCACAGCTTTTTTAAAATTGAATTTATTGGTGTGACATTGATTCAGAAAACCACCCAGGTTTCAAGTGTACAGTTCAACATTGTGCACCCATCACCCACAGCAAAGCCTCTCTTTGTCCCCATTCATCCCCCCATGGCCTATCTCCACCTACCGCCACTCCTCTTTCCCTCTGGCTGTCACCGCACTGTTGTCTCTGTCTATGTGTGACATATATATATTGGGGGGGACGGTGCTTAATCCCTTCACCTTCTTTCCTCCGACCTTCCAACCCCCTGTCCTGGGACAGCTGGCAGTCTGTCCATGTGTCCATGCTTCTGTTTCTATTTTGTTCATCAGTTTATTTTGTTCATTAGATTCCACATATGAATGAGATCACATAGTATTTGTCTTTCTCTGCCTGGCTTATTTCACTCAGCATAATAATCTCCAGGACCATCTATGTTCTTGCAAAAGATAAGATTTCCTTCTTTTTGATGGTGAGCAGTATCCCATTGTGTAAATATACCACAGCTTTTTTTTTATCTACTCATCTATTGATGGGCACTTGGGCAATTTCCAGATCTTGTCTATTATAAATAGTGCTGCTGTGAACATAGGGATGTTTATATTCTTTCAGATTAGTTTTTTTTGTTTGTTTCTTTGTATATATACCCAGAAGTGGGATTGCTGGGTCAAAAGGCAGTTCCATTTTTATTTTTTTGAGGAAACTCCATGCTGTTTTTCATTGGCTGCACCAATCTGCATTACCACCAGCAGTGCACAAGGGTCCCTTTTCTCCATACCCTTGCCAAAATTTATTTGTGATTTATTGATGGTAGCCATTCTGACAGGTGTGAAGTGATAGCTCATTGTGCTTTTAATTTGCATTTCTCTGATGATTGTTGATGTTGAGCATCTTTGCATATGTCTATTGACCATCTGTAATTCCTCATTGGAGAAATGTTTATTCAGGTTCTCTGCCCATTTTTTAATTGGACTGTCTGGGTTTTGTGTGTGTGTGTGTGTGTGTGTGTTAAGTTGTATGTGTTCTTCATAAATTTTGAACATTAACCCTTTATCAGATGTATCATTGGGAATAGGTTCTTCCATTCCATGGTTTGTCTTTTTATTTTGTTGATGGTTTCCTTTGCTGTGCAAAACTTTTTAGTAAAAGTATCCTTTTGCCCTAGCTGGTGTGACTCAGTGGATTGAGCTCTGGCCTGGGAACAGAAAGGTCGCCAGTTGAATTCCCGGTTGGGGTACATAGCTGGGTTGCAGGCTAGGTCCCCAGTTCGGGGGGTGTGAGAGGCAAGTAATTGATGTTTCTCCCATACATCAATGTTTCTTTCCCTCTCTTTCTCCCTCCTTTCTCCGCTCTCTGAAAATAAATAACTTCTTTTTTTTTTAAGTATCCTTTTTACATTAGAATTAAGGTCACCATTGCTTTACTTCAGCTATTTGGATCAAGAAATGTGTTCTTTGGTTTCATTATTAAACAATATCAGAAAATTTGGCAAATTACAGTGTGGAGCATGTATCACCAGAAGCCACATGATGGCAGTATTTCCTAATTGTTGAGAAGTACCTGCAACTAAAGAAAAAAAAAACCAAACTGACAGCTTCTTAAATAGTGAGAAACTGTAAACCTAACGAATACAAATACAGCATGACCTTTGATGGCTCTCCACTCTTTATAGGAGAAAAAGAATCAAATTTCTCTACTTTGGGTATAAGGACTTTTGCAACCAAACATGGACCCAGAATCCTTTTCCATTCCTTTTCCCTCCCCTCTCTCACACACCCTTCCGTCCACCAGTGTCTCACCGTCTCCATGGACATGCCTGTCTTTTTCTCACTCCTGAATTTTTGCATACATCATGCCTTCTGCTTATCCTGGGTAGGTTGAAGGTCCTGCCAAATACACCCTAGAAAAGTGGTCTCACTGGTTTTCCTAGCCTGGGTTCCTGTTGTGAAAGGTGCCTGGGAGGTGGAACCAGCAGATCCTGGTTGCGCAGGGAACCCACTTTCTGAGATGGGTGGTGAAGATTCTGTTCCAAACTGAATGTAGTCAACTGAAACAAAACTCTCCCTCTCCGTGGTGAAGTGAACATGCAAGGCAATCAAAGAGAAGACTGGGCCCTCTGGGTCTGGGAATTCTCTGAAGCTATCTTCAGCACCTTTCAAGGTTTGTTCATGGAGCTAATATAGCACTGAGGGTGGGAGAATGGAGTCCCAAGCTAGACTTCCACTTAGCTGTATTATTGTAAGTGACTCTGTGCCTCAGTTTCCTCATCTCTAAAATGGAGATTACAATAGTAGCTGCATGATAGAGTCTATGTGAGGATTAAATGAGTCACTGCATATACATATATTAATAAGGGACCTCGAATGGAACCTGGAACATGACATGTGTCAATCCCCATTGCTACTATTGTGACTTGGAGGAACCTGACTAGACCCTTCAGCACCACTTCGCCTTTGTCATCCGACTGTATTTAGGTGCCTCAAGGTCAAAGGACTTCATTGTTCTGGTGAGTTCTCAGTAGAACTACACCAGTTATAAGATGTGAATGCTACAAAAAAGGGTTAAATGGTTATTTCTTTTCTATATGGTGAGTGGTTTTCTTAACATTTTCCAAGAAAATGCCGGTCTCCCTATCTTGCCTCTAAAAATAAAAGAGAAAACAGGAGTCAAAGTAAGTTTTGTTCATTTGCTCCTTCATAGAAAATATTTATAAATACCTACCATGCCAAATGCAATGCTTAGGGCTAGGGGTACAAAGGTGAATGATACAATCTCTTCCCTTCAAGTTCTCATAGTCAAATTAGGAAAAAAAGTGAAATACAGAAATCTCCACACAAGGAGAGGGACACAGACACCATAAAGTGGTGCATGGCAGGAACTGACTTATTCTGCTAAGGCCTGCTGGGATGGCTTCACAGAAGAGAAGCCCTTCAAGCTGGGTCTTGAAGGATGAGTAGGAGTTTGCAAGATGGTTGTGTGGGCAAAGACATTCCAGGCAAAGGGAGCAGCTTGTGGAAAAGTCACAAAGGCATGAACCAGCTTGGCGTGTTGTTTATAGCTAGGGGAGCTGTGCCTAGCTGTTGTATGGAAAACAGAGAGCGTGTGAAATGATGTAGAGTGAAGCTTCCGGGGCAGAGGGTCCCATCATGGAAGGTCTTGAAGACCAGGTTAAGAAATTTAGATGTTTCCCCAGAGACTGGTGCTTCTCAAAAATTTCCACTCACATAGCACTCACTAATATTCACCAGTATTGGAAGTTGAACACAGAGGAAAGAGGCCTCAAATCACAGTCAGGGGGGCAGTTCAGTCTGAGGTGATACACCTTTTATGTGTAGGAAATTTCTCTGAAATATCTTGTTCTATGTCAAAAACTTATGTGGAATTTTGCATACTACTTCATAATCTGTGATACATATTTTTTCTTAAAAGATTTTATTTATTCACCCTGGCTGGCATAGCTCAGTGGATTGAGCTCGGGCTGCAAACCAAAGTGTCGCAGGTTCAATTCCCAGTCAGGGTACATGCCTGGGTTGCAGGCCATGACCCCCAGCAACCACACATTGATGTTTCTCTCTCTCTCTCT